GGGAGACCTAAGGGCGGGATTCTCCGGACCGTGCTGGGACCTTAGGGACAGCCTGATGCCTTGGTAAAAGCATGGCTAGCCGGACTTGGTGGCTCAGCCTGTAATCCTGCACCTTTGGGAGGCTGAGATGAGTGGATTGTCTGAGTCCGCGGGTTCGAGACCTGCCTGGACAACTTGGCGAGACCTCATCTCTACAATAAATCAAAAAAAATTAGCTGGGCGTGGTAGCGCGCGCCTGTAGTTCCGGCTACTTGGAAGGCTGAGGCGGAAGGATAGCCGTAACCCAGCAGGTTGAGGCTGCAGTGTCCGGGAGTGGCCACTGCACTCCAGTCTGGGCGACAGAGTGAGACTCCAACAACAACAACAACAAAATTCAATACTTAACTACTCAATATTTAAAGACTCATTCCACTTTTTAAAAAAAAACTTGAGCCGGGCTCAGTGGCTCAGCGGCTCAGCTTGTAATCTGCGCCTTGGGAGGCTGAGGTGAGTGGATTGCCTGAGCCTGCAGGTTCGAGACCCGCCTGGGCAACTTGGTGAGACCTCATCTCCACAATAAATCAAATAATTAGCCGGGTGTGGTAGCGTGCCTGTAGTTCCAGCTACTTGGAAGGCTGAGGCGGAAGGATCGCCGGAGGCCAGCAGGTCGAGGCTGCGGTGGCTGGGAGAGGCCACTGCACTCCAGTCTAGGTGACAGAGTGAGACTTCAACTCAAAAAAAAAAAGCATGGCTTCCAGGCCTTGACTCCCTTCCCGAATCCTCGCACATGACCTGGGGCAGGTGACCCAGGGCTGCTCTTGAAGCCTCCATTTTCACTTCTGTAAAATGGAGCAAATCCTGAGGCCTCCTTTGAAGGCTGCTTGAGGGGACACCCAGAGACATAGCGGACATGTGTGTTCGGGGTGTGTCTGCTGGATGGAGGAGTGGGGGGCTTCAGGCTGGGGGTGTTCAAGGGCTCGTGAGGCCCAGGCGGAGGTGGGGTGGGGGCGGGCATGATGAGTCCAGGTGGGCGGAGGGCCCGGCAGTGTGCCAAGGCAGCCGACACTTGCCTGTGGGAGCCAGTCACCAAATTCTTAAAATGTTATGAGTCAGTTGTTTAATGCACTAAATTCTGACATATTAAAAACCAAGGTCAGCTGGGCCCAGTGGCTCATGCCTGTGGTCCCAGCACTTTGGGAGGCTGAGGCGGGAGGATTGCTTGAGCCCAGGAGTTCAATACCAGCCTGGCAACATAGTGAGATCTTGTCTCTACAAAAAAAAAAACTGAAACCCCCCCCCACACAAGGTTATTAATCCTCAAAACTCACCGTTTCCTAATTATTTTACTACCTTCTACTAGCATCTATGTGCTGAGGTTATTTTCATGGAGTGTATTCTCTATTATACAACGACTGGTAGCTCAAAAACGGCTGTGAATGTATTCACACTGAAGAAATTGGCAAACACCACAAAGCAGGGCGTTCTAAAATTGGCAGCCAGTTGTCAAACACTGACCAGCATGAGACTGGGTGCGGTGGCTCACGTCTGTAATCCCACTGCTTTGGGAACCTGAGGTGGGAGATCACTTGAAGCCAGGAGTTCAGGACCAGCCCAGACCACATAGCAAGACCCCATCTCTACAGAAATATTTTAAAAATCAGATAGGCATGGTGGCACACACCTCTAGTTCCAGTTACTGGGGAGGTGCCAGCAGGAGGATCGCTTGAGCCCAGGAATTCAAGGATCCGGTGATCCACAATCGCACCACTGCTCTCTGGCCTGAGCGACAGAGCGAGATTTCAAGGCTTTGAAGAAATAAAGGCCGAGGGAGCATTTACCAGCCGTCCATTGGGCTTGGTGCTGCTTCTTGGCTGAATGCTCCCTCTGCCTCCGTCCTCCAAGCCTGGACGGAGGGGAAGCGCCCGCCTTCCAAAAGCTCTAAGAGCTGGCGGCCGGCGGCCCCTGGCGGCCACTTCAGGGCCCGGGTCACCGGCGGGATTAAACCCGTGCTCTGGGGAGAGCGCCGCAGGAGAAAGGCAGCCTGCTCCAAGTGGGCGGCAGAAAGCGTCTGTGGAAGTGCCCGGCAGACAGGAGCCAAGCCTCCTGGGGAGTCACTCAGAGGCACCCAAGTCCCTCAGCCTCTGGGTGCACAGTCCCGTGCTGCAGAGTCCTCAGTGCCCCTTCTCCGACTTCTCTGATCCTTCTCAAAGGGGCAGGGGCTCAGCTCCCTCAACCCATCAGCCTGCCCCCTCCAGGACACCCGCGCTGTCTTCCGTCAGCACCCCCAAAGCCTTGAACACATCTTTCTTGTGCATCTCAGACTCTTTTTCTGTGTCGGAGTCTCACTCTGTCACCCAGGTTGGTGTGCAGGGGCATGGTCATATCAACAGCAGCCTCAAGTTGCTGGGCTCAAGTGATCCTTCTGCCTCAGTCTCCCAAGTAGCTGGGGCTACCATCAAGCGCCACCATGCCTGGCTAGTTTGGGTCTTTTTTTGTGGAGAAGGGGTCTCACTATGTTACCCAGGCTGGTCTCGAACTCCTGGGCTCAAGCGATCCTTCCACCTCAGTCTCCTAAAGTGCTGGGATTACAGGCGTGAGCCGCCGTGCCCGGACTGTGTGGATCACATTTGGTCATTCTAGAAGTTCGGGAGAAGGGGACAGATGTCGCCATGCCCAAAGCTGTGTGGCCGTCTCCCTACTCCTCCCTGAATGTCCCCGTGGGCCCTGCCCCCTGCCACTTTCCCTTCTGCCTTCCTCCTGTCTCTCTTCTTCTCCTCCCAAGCTGGAGCCAACACCTCCCAGACTCAACCTTTGGACTCCCCCTTCAAAGGCCATAAACCCTGGTCTTGAACTCCTAGTTGCAAGCAATCCTTCCGCCTCAGCCTCCCAAAGCACTGGGATCACCGGCATGATTCAACATGCCCAACCGATGTGTGCTTTCCTGTTGCAAGGTTGAACAGTTGCCACAGAGGCCCATAAGCTCAACACATTTACCGTCTGGCCCTTTAAGAAGAAGGTTGCTGGCCCCAAACTTTCCCACCAGCTGACCATGAGTATGTCCCTGGTAGCATGAAAGCCTCTTGGGCTGTGGTGCACCCCCACTGGGAGGATAGCTACAGGGTGTTGATGGGGGACCAGGCCTGTGTGCAAAGGAGCGGTCCGGCGGGCTTCGGGGGTGACAAAGAGTCTCTGCTTGACCGAACTTTAGGGAGCCTCCTGGGGCTTCTCCTAGGCCCCTCCAAGCACATCATCATGCAATCCAGTGCTCACAAGAACACCCCCATGTCTGATCAAGGTTCTCCTCCACCATCCCCCCAGGTGATGCCTGGTCCCCCAGCTGCCTTCAACAGGAATCCCGTTGGGTGGGCTAGCCAGGCTCCCCTGCCCCGACTTTACTTTTTGTAACCTTCCATCCCTGCCCCCCACCCCCGACCCTTGGCTTTCAGTCCCCACTCGCCTGTGCTGTACTCGGAGTTGTCTCTCTCTCTCCTTGGCTGCAGGACCCTGCTACAGTGGCCCTACAGTGATGGATGTCGTACCCCCACCTTGAATCAAGTCTTCCTTACCATGCTTTAGCAGGAGGCTGGGTGCAGTGGCTCACGTCTGTAATCCCAGCAATTTGGGAGGCCAAGGAGGGAGGACTGTTTGAGACCAGGAGTTTGAGATCAGCCTGGGCAACAGAGTGAGACCTCGTCTCTACAAAAATTCAAAAAATTAGCCGGGCATGGTGGCGTGTACCTGTAGTTCCAGCTGTTCGGGAGGCTGAGGCAGAAGGATTGCCTGAGCCCAAGAGGTCGAGGCTGCAGTAAGCCACGCACTCCAGCCTGGGCGACAGAGTGAGACTGACTCCAAAAAAAATGGGGGGGAGAGTCATCGAATAATTTGTTTCTTTAACAAGAGGATAGATTGGTGTTTGGAGGGGTATTCATCTAAGATTTGGGAGGAACCAAATTCTGCAGGACAAACTGGTCATGGAGAGAGCTGAATGGAGGGAGCACCGGGACCAGCCTGCCTCTTCATCTTGCAGCCTGAAACTTCTCCCAGTCGCCCAAGGACGTGCATGATGCTTCTGTTCCCAAGCGGCAATACTGACATCAACCCAGCAGCCTGTGGAGGGGGCTTCCCAAGGGGCCTGGGGCTGAGGACAGACAATTGAGGATCGACCTCCACCCTGAGAGTAGGGATAGAAGATTCTGGGAAGGCTGCCTGGAGGAGACAGCCTCGGTACCTTGAAGGAGTCAACCATCAATTGTTCATCACACATTTACTGACAGCCCACGCTGTGCCGGGCCTTGGGCTGGGTAGGACAGGACAAGAAACCCCCCTGAGAAGGGGCCACAGCAGAAGGTGGGGGAGAGCAGATGGGCACTCTGTCACCTGGTAGAAGCTCACTGGGCCACACAGTCCTGAGGAAAGATCTGCCCTTGGGCTTTCCAAACCCACCCGAGCCTGCACAGGCTGAGGCCTCACCCCAGGCTCCCCAGAGAGGTGCCTGAGAAAACCCAAGCCACCCCAAATCAGAGGAGCTGCAAGAAGTGGCCACAGGAGTCTGCCGCCCTTCAGTGCCTCTCCCCAGGACCCTCTCTCTGTCTGGAGACCACCACAAGCAGAAGGAAAGGGTGAGGGGGACAGGGAGCTCCGTCCTCCTTGGCTCACGAGGGTGAGACTCAGTGGCCTAGAGAAAGGAGGAGAGCCCTGGAGATGCCAGGGAGGTGGGGGTGGGGGGTCACAGGTCAGACAGGGACAGGAAGAGGGGAGGCTCTCTCCAGGCCACATGGCTGCCCACCCACGGTCCGTGGCCTGGGAGTGGCTGGGCTCCACTCAAGGCCGAGGGAAGGGGAGAGGTTCCATGTGCTCGTCCTGACGGCCACAGACCCTGGGCCGATCTTGTCCTGTTTGGGTGGCTGCTATCCCAGAGGTCGCCAAGGAAGCCCAGGACTGTGGTATGCAGACCGGGTGCTCAGGGGTGGCTGGACGGGAGTGAGGTGGCCAGGGCCATGCTCAGCAGACGTGTGGGACAGCTAGGGGAGGAAGCTCTGCAGGGTGAGGTCGTCCCCCTCACGCTCCCTGGGCTCTGGTGTGGGACCCGGGCCCTTGGTCTTGGGCAGGCCCCCGTTGGCCGTGGTGGGTGGCCCCTCGCCCCCGTCAGGCAGCAGAGCGGAGATGCAGACCATCTCGGTGGGAGAGTAACTGCGCACAGGGTACGTGTGGCTCTTGCGGGAGAGGCGAACTGCCAGCACCACGGTGCACACCAGGAAGATAGTGGCCACCAGGGCCAGGATGAGGATGGCCAGCAGGCACTGCTTCACGGGGATGTGGTCCGGGGCCCCCACAGAGCTGGGGGCCACGGGGCTCCCGGGTGAAGAGGACGGCCCACTCCTCACGTGGATGGTGTTGGACAGACTGAGGGCTCCCACAGGCGTGCTGTTGTGAGCAACAGAGGGCACGAGAAGGACTGTGGTAAGACCCCTTGTGGGAGCAGGGGCCGTGGACTGGGTCTTCTCAGTGGCTGGCTCTGTGAATGGCGCCACCGTGAGAGGGGTTTCTGTAGCAGGTGGCTCTGTGGACAGAGCCTCTTTGACTGTGGGTTGCACGGGATCCTCTGTGGCAGTGGATTCCCCGGTCTGGGCCTCTGTGGCAGTGGATTCCACGGTCGGAGCCTCTGTAGCAGTGGGTTCCATGGGCAGGGCCTCTGTGGCAGTGGGTTGAGTGATCTGTGCCTTTAGGACTGCTGGCTCCATGGATAGGGCCTCTGTGGTAGCCAGCTCCGTGGACAGAATTCCCTTGTTGGATGAATCCTCCGTGATAGATGCGCTTTCCGTGGCCAGCTCTGTGACTAGCTCTGCCGTTGTGTCCGGAGCCCCCTGAGTGGCCAGCTCCATGCTCAGATTCCCGGTGACTGACCCTCCTGTATCCAGGCCAGCAGAGTCTCCTGTGGCAGCCTCCACAGTGGTTAGCTCGGGGGCTCCAGGCACCACAGAACCTGTCTGCCCTAGTGTTCCCGCCATAGTCACCAGCTCACTCCCATTGTGGGTCCCCAGGACTTCAGGAGGGTCCGTTTCTACCGCGACATAGTCGTCATCCATGTCCTCCTCCTCGATGTCCTGTCTCCGGCCCCGGGAGAGCAGGGGACCTGGGGTTTTCCCGGCTCCATCTACCCGCGTGTCCCACAAGGGGAGGTTGCTCCCGGGGCCTAGCAGGGCCAGCAGCACCAGGAGTTGCAGAGGCATGGCACCTGGGGAGACAGGGGGGGAATGTCAGGACGGCTTTCCCCTGTCCCCCTGTGCCCAGCGAGCACCCCCAACTGCCACATCTAGTCTGGGGCAGATGCTGGGTATTTCTATAACCCAGCACATGTCTGGTGCAGAGAGGCCCTCAGCCAGCAGCAATTACAAGCATCATTTCTCAGCGTGAACAAAGCCATCCAGGAGGACTGTTTAATGCCCTCCATATGGTACATGGAAACTTTATTTGCCTCTCTCTCTCTCTCTTTTTGGGGGGGTGGTTTGCTGGTGCAGGATCTTGCTCTGTTGCCTAGGCTGGAGTGCAGTGGTATGATCTCTTAGCTCACTGCAGCCTTAGACTCCTGGGCCCAGACAATCCTCCCACTTCAGCTTCTCCAGTAGCTGGGATTACAGGCATGCACCACCATACTGTTTTTTTTTTTTCGGGGGGGTTGTTTTTGTTTTTTTTTGTTAGAGGTGGGGTCTCACTATGTTGTCCAGACTGGTCTTGAATGCCTGGCCTCAAGCAATCCTCCTGCTGTGGCTTCCCAAAGTTCTGGAATTACAGGCATGAGTCAGAACACCCAGCCTCTCCCTCATTTTTTATTAAGCCTTTTTATTTGTAGGCAAGACAATTCACTGGGAATGTAGAAAGAAAATACCAGGCCAGGTACGGTGGCTTAAGCCTGTAATTCCAGCACTTTGGGAGGCCAAGGTGAGAGGATTGCTTGAGCCCGCGAGTTTGAGACCAGCCTGGGCAACATGGTGAGACCTTGTCTCTACAATAAATCAAAAAATCAGCCAGGTATAGTAGCACATACCTATAGTTCTGGTTACTTGGAAGGCTGAGGCAGAAAGGTCGCCAGAGCCCAGCAGGTCGAGGATGGGATAGCTGTGAGCCTGACACTGCACTCCAGCCTGGGCGACCGAGTAAAACTCCAACTCAAAAAAAAAAAAGAAAAAAGAAAAAGAAAAAAGAAAATACAAGACCTTCTAGTTATATTAATTTTTTATGTCACCCTTCTTATTTTTTATTTCATAGATATGTTTACTGTATCCTAAGAGTACAGTAGTACCAGTATATAATTGCAGGAGTTGTATAGAATTTATAGGATGGATATCAACTCACAGAATTAACCTACAAGTGGATCTACAGTATGTAGTATTCCCTGTATGCAACAATCAATAGATCAGTTGTCATGGATGAGGTCCACAGTAGAAAAGTTCAGAAGCCACAGGCCTGCAAGATAGAGTGGCTTGTCAGACTTTCAAGGCCTCTTGGAGTCTGATTCTGATGACTGCCCTCTCTCCCTGCCCCCAACTCCCCATCCCTCTGTCCCCTGCAATCTTGACTCCTACCCCCCACAGCCCTAGCTAGTTCTCAGGGCCTTTGTTTGTCTCGTTCCTTTTTTTTTTTTTTAAGTTGGGGTCTCACTCTTTGGCCCAGGCTGGAGTGCAGTGACACAATCCTGGCTCATCACAGCCTCGACTTCCTGGGCTCAGGAGATCTGTCCACCTCAGCCTCCCCAGTAGCTGGGACTACAGGCATGTATCACCACACCCTGCGAGTTTTTAAAATGTTTTTGTAGAGACGAGGTCTCACTGTGTTGTCCAGGCTAGTCTCGTACTCCTGGACTCAAGCAATCCTCCCACCTCAGCCTTCCAAAGTGATGGGATCACAGATGTGAGCCACCACGTTCAGCCTGTCTCGTTCTTTCTCAGTCTCAGCTTGGTCCCACTCCTTTCAGTATGTCCTGGCCCACCCTGTGGGGATGGTAGTACCCATCTCATGGGCCATCGTGAGGATGGAAGGAAGGGATACTTAGCACTTTGTTTGCATGGCAGGCTCAGCAAAGGTTGGCTGCTTTGGCTCTTTTGGTCAACCTTCCCCGCAAGTCCTCAAGGGCCCAGAGCCATTGAGGCACCCTCTGTGGCCAGAAGAAAACACACACCTTTTCAGAACAGCCCTGCTGCAGGGAGCTTATAGTCATCGTGTTTGCCTGTGGGTGGGACTACCGTCTATTGCGAGACTCTACACTGTCCTCCTAACCCTGGCGGCTGGAAAGGACAGTGCCTCTCGTCGTGGCCACGTCATTGATCTTTCTCTCTGGCATTGAGAACACCTGGGCTTTCTCGTTTTTTCTCTCTCCCTTATGTTCCCCTTGGCACTGGCTTGTGTTTAAGGGATTTAAAATCCTGTGGTGGGCCAGGCACAGTGGCTCACGCTGCAATTCCAGAGTTTTGGGGGCCTGAGGCCAGGAGTTTGAGATCAGCCTGGGCAACATAGTGAGACTTTATAGCTACCCAAAATAAACATAAATAAAGATTTCAGCTAGACAAGGTGACTCACGCCTGTAATTCCAGCCCTCTGGGAGGCCAAAGTGGGAGGCATGCTTGAGGCCAGGAGTTTAAAACCAGCCTGGAAAACAAAGTGAGACCTCATCTCTACAAAAATTAGCTGGGCAAGGTGGCACGCACCTATAGTCCCAGCTACTTGGGAGACTGAGGCGGAGGGATTACCTGAGCCCAGGAGGTCGAGGCTGCAATGAGCTGTGATGGTGCCACTGCACTCCAGCCTGGGGGACAGAGTAAGGCTCTGTCATAAATATCCTGTGGTGAGGGGCAGGCATGTTCTGGGGCAGGACCCGGGTATTCCGGCGCTCCCTGGACATAACGCCCTCAGCACACACCCCCTAGAATAGCACCTGGTGCACAGTGGGCATGCAAAACCAGCACCTGGGTGATTTCTGGAATTTTCCTTTGTGCTCCATTCCCATGACTGGGAGGAAACAGCAGCTGCTCGCCACTCCTCGGGTGACTGTCACTTACTCACAGGTCCCTCTGCATCCAGGCTGAGACAAACTCTTTCATGTGTGTGCTAGAACTACGTTGGTTTCTAAAGTGCAAATCTGATCTCATCTGACAATAATTTTTTAAGCCAAACTTTATGATACTGGCGCCAGACACATTAAGTCCAGAGAAGCCAAGTTACTTTCTCAAAGACACACAGCCAGTGAGTGGCCGAGATCAGATTTGAACCCAGTGAGGATTCAGGAAGGCTGTGTGGAGAGACTCGACTTAGCTGAGGGGACAAAAGGCTGGCTTTGGGGGCTTAGTGGGACATGGGGGGCAGAGTAAGAAAAAGGAGGAGCTTGAAAGCTGCGTCCCCCAAAAAGGTCAGTCATGTACTCACCAAGTGCCATGCAGGACACCAGACTGAAAGCACAGATCACAAGGTCAGACAAAAAGGAATTCGAGTCCCAGCTCTGCCTCCTACAAGCTGTATGACCTTGAGACAAATCTATGCCTCCTGAGCCTCAGTTTTCCCATCTGTAAAATGGGAATGACAAACAGTACCCATCTCATGGCTGCAGGGAGAATGCAACGAGAGGATGGACAGATTTGAAAGTTCCAGGCTCCCAGTAGGTGCTAAATCAATGCAGCTCACATATGCACATGTGTACACACACACACACATACACACACACACACATCTTGGCCTCCCAGTTTGCCTTCAGGACAGCAGACTTTCTTTGGAGTAGAGTTCCTACTTGAGGGAAGACTACAGGGCCCCACCTTGGCTCCACTCTCCTGGGGGCAGAGACTTCAGGAAGAAGCTATCGACCTCAGAGACATATTTCATAAGTATGAGCACAGCGCACCCAGCACCCCTGGGGTAGTGCTCAGTTCCTGGAAGGTGACTTTCTGAGCCACTTCCTGGAGGAGGGGTGGGGCAGGAACACAGGGCTGCCTGCCAGTTCCGGGGTGGGGGCAGCATCTCGCAGAGTCAGGGTCTGACTCTCTGCAGCCCTGAGGCTGAAGGAATAACAGGGAGGGGTGAGGTCACATTGGTAAGGTGGGCTCTCACCCGTCACCCTCTCCCGGGCACCCAGATCTACCACAGCTGCGGGTGGAGGAGGGGCACAGGCCTGAGCTCCAGTTCACCCCCACCTAGCCGCTGGGAGACCTTTAGCAGATAGCTTCACCCTCTCTAAGCCTCAGTTTCCTCAACTGTAAAATGGGGGATATTGCTTCAAAGAAGGGTCATGAGAATCGAGTGAGATGCTACTTGGAAATTTCTGGATGCTGGCCACCACCCTCTTCAGCGCTGCAGACAGAGGAGCAGAGGGAAGGGAGGCCTTAGCCTGGGAGGGTACAGAGAGGGCGACCTCCCTACCTCCTCCGTAGGCAGTTACTAGGGAGCTACGGGGGCCTGTGAGAAAACAGAGACCCCCTCGCCTGTTGAGACAAGGGCTGGCATGTGGAAAATGCCCAACCTTTCCTTCCTGGGCCTGTCAAAAGCGGCCAGCTTGTCCCAGCTGCTCCCATCCAGTATGGGTATAAAAAGTCCCTTGTCAGGAGCAACCCCTCAGTCTCAGACAGCCTGGTCCCTGCCATCCAGAGAGCTTTAAGGAGAAGGCTCCATGGATGCAGCAGCCTGGATCCAGGCCCCGGTTGGGCAGCTGTCTGTCCATTTGACAGGAAGAAACCCCGAGACTCAGCCAGATGCAGTGGCTCACGCCTGTGATCCCAGCACTTTGGGAGGCCGAGACCCAAGGATCACTTAAGGTCAGGAGTTTGAGACCAGCCTGGGCAACATAGTGAGACCTTGTCTCTACAAAAATTCAAGATTTAACCAAGCATAGTGGCGTGTGCCTGTAGTCCCAGCTACTGTGGAGACTGAGGCAGAAAGATTGCCTGAGCCCAGGAGGTCGAGGCTGCGGTGAACCATGTTCACGCCACAGTCCTCCAGTCTGGGTGAAAAAAATATGCTTAACCAAAGAAAGAACATTTGAGCTGCCAAGAGACTGTATCTCAGCCAAAGCCACACAGGTAGAAAGGGGAGGAGCAGAATGTTCTCAGTGTACAGCCGGTAGGACAATAACCCTGAAATATTTACTAAAACGAATATACGGTACTGCAACAAAATGCCTTTGTATCAAGCCCTGCCGTGAACGAGTCATCTTGTCCTCTCAGTACTTGGTGAGCTCCTCCATGGGACTCCC